ATCAATTTAAAGGTGCGTGGTACGGATTGCTCGTACCCTGTTACGCGTACTCAGTTTACGCGTATCCGGAACGCCATACATACATGGACTGGTCCATACATACATGGACTAGGCGTTCCGGATACGCGTAAACTGAGTAGGTACGCGTACCAGGGTACGAGCAATCCATACGCACCTTATGGTGCTACAATATGATGTACCGTGCCGCCAACAAACTAGGGGCGTGCATGATAGCGGGGCTTGCCCTAGCCCACACTTGAATGGACAACACGCATAAGTTGTAATATTAAGTTAAATTATGACTTAATTTAAAGTTTAGATCACACACATTACACTAGTTTTTATTTCACCTCAATCCATCCAGTATTACCGAAGATAGAGCCTCGAGAAGTTTACGGACTTTTTAAAATTTTCAAAAATTTCCAATATTCGCGCGTGACGTCACAACATGATTTTGCAGCCCCCGCACGTTAACCCATTTACCACTTTTTGTCTTTTTCCAACTAAAATAAAATTTTACCTAACTGACAACTGTTGTTAGTTGTCATCGTTCAATCACATTTCAAACTAGGCGCTAAAAAAGTAACCATTATTATGCCACCTATTGCCAATTTTGTGCAATATGAAGCCATTTTTACATGGAACATGTAAGACAAAAATAAAATTTCCAATATTACAGACCTTCTAGAGCAGATTCCGCGAAAACTATACAATTTATAGAAAAACTTGTCCATCTCATCTATAGCAAATTGAATATGCTTTTTTTGGTTCAAAGTAGTCATGTCACTAGGACGCATAGTTTCCGAGGATTAAGCGAAAAACCGAAAAGTGGCACCTTTAAACCCCCCTCTCCCCGTCGGCTCAAGGGCTAAGGGCGGGGACTTTTGCTATGTTCACCTCCTAACTAGTCTAAATAAAGTCCTGAAGTCAGAAATTGTGTTCTACAGTTTTCCATCTATAATGCTTTATTGACTGGACTATGTACATATGTTGTTCGACTGTTGTAAGCGTCAAGGAATTTTTTTCCTTGAATTTTCAAAAGTCAATTTCTTTCTGGGCCACCCTGTACATGCACCATTATCCAATGGTTACCTGAGTAGCCAAATTGATTTGCGAACGCCATCGAAAGCATAAGAAGATACTTGAGAGAAGAAAGAAGTAGTTTGTAGCATTCTTTTCTATTTAAAGTAGGTATGTTTAATCTATACATCTAGTAGGTAGCTCTAGCTAGATAGACTCTCATAGAAAAAAAATGACCTCTCCACTGGAATATTAAAATAATTTTGAAAGAGATGTTTCTCAGTGACAATGACAATACATAATTTAATTAACTTTAATGCAAATTAGGAGGTTTAATGAAGTTTTTATACACGTACTATATCACTATTTATAATTATATTACAAGTAAAGTAATCCACGTAAAACAAAAAGACGGATCGAAGTGATTTCGATATTATACATTCACAAATGTTACTTTGTCTAGGAGGCCTGATGTGGCTAACCATTTTCGTCTATGAAGATAGTCCATAATGAGAAAATTTTGTAGAGATGCTGCATTTCTCAAAGATCTGAAACTGAAACGTGATTGAAAAACGAAACTTCAGCCTGCCAAAAATCGGATTAGCCGTACAGATCACTTTAATGCTCTCATAATGTCGTTCCACCAAACTTGGCAATACTCTCTGAAAATATTCGCCGAGCCATTGTTCAGCCGAAGCATTGTTGAAGCCAAATAGGTTATAAAAACTTATTACGGGGACTGCAGGTGTTATACGTTGTACGATTGCGGGCTCAATGGCCGCTTCCCGGCGGTTGCTTTGCAAAATAGAGTTAAGTATTCAAAAATAATTAAATATGTGTAGGAAAACATCGTCCATCTACGGACGGTACAGGTTACTGACCTCTATACGCAATACGATCATTAACATCTTAGCCTAACCTTGAGATGTGTCAGTCAATTTTGATCGAGTAGATTCTATTGGAGATCGACCTAGAGATGATCAGCATAAAGTTTAATCAAAAGTAGCCAATACTGTTATAAATATTGTATGAATTGTTTTATACGCCTTCACAAATTCAAATTCGTTTATTTCTCTAATCATACAAATACAAATCCTAAAAATAAAAACAATAATGAGCTTTGATTGTAAAATTTTAAAAAATAAAGCTCCACATCTGCATTTTCGTGAAAGAATGCATGCCGTAATAGGTAACTCGTTATTTCGCGACTTGTACGTTTTGCACGGCTCCCCGCTATGAATCTCATTAACACGTTGAGTGCGAAACCAGGTCTATAGACCTTGTGTACGTTTCGCTTACCGTGCGGCTAAGAAAATTATTGTCTTCCTTGTCGTGCGAAAGGCATAACTTCAATTGGGTCCGGTGTAGGAAAGTGATGAATATATATCTATGATGTATTCTTAAAATAGAATCCAATGATGTACCTACCTTAATACCAGGTTTTTAGACCTGGTACCGCACGGAAGTAATAAAATGTCTTCACAATGCGAAACCAGGTCGAAGCACCTTGTACCCTGCGCACCTGGTACCGCACCCCACGCTAGCTTCGTGCAGCCAGTGTTGCCTCGCATTCGTAAGAAACGCACATGTCGACATGGCGTCAAGAGAAACAAACAAAATCAAAACTGCAAATTGATTATTATTTAATTTGCTACACGATTTATTGCTAATTTAAAAAGTTTTTCGTGACAAATATTTGAAGTTGTAACTAAATGTTATTAAATAATATGTTTTCTTTAAATATAGCTTATTTAAGTATTTATGCACGTATGTCTTATTTGTAAAATATTTAGACTAAATTATTAAAACATCTTTGTTTGTTACTTTTTTAAATTTTTATTAAAACTTAATTTAAACTATCGATATTTGTATTTCACATCCCTAGAATACCCACCAGACTTCCCTACTTCAGTGCGGCACAGGGTGCATAAGCCTTGTATTTTGAATATAGCTATAATTTTTATACTAAACAAGTTATTCACGAACGCCTTCAGGTGTATGTCAATAAATGCATTATTATTAATATCCAAAGAAAAAAAGCACAATATCTATTAACATGAAGCCAAAAATAAAATTAATATATCTTAAATATTACAAGGTCTTTAAGCCTTGTGCCGCCACAATGTAAGTTTTAATACCAGGTTTACCGACCTTGTACCGAAGGAATGGAAAGTATTAGAAAGTTACTGCCGCAGCAAAGGTGTTAAACCAAGTATGAGCAGGTAAGTTTGCATCGTAAGGACCACACAAGAGAGCAATTCAAATGATTTTAGCGCTATAGACATGAGTGTACTTCATTATTCAATTAATGTTATCTGAATTCTGGTTAGCGCCACCACTGATATGGATGTGATTGGAATGTGTTATGATTACAAAGTACTACTGATGAAATTCGATTAGTAGGTACCTATCGGAACATGATCATGAAATATTTTGTTTGATTTTGGCTAGAGATACCTACTTACTCTTAATTTATGTAAGAGAAATTGGCGGCTTGATGTAATTTTCTAAATCGGGGACCTCAGATAGACTAAGGCTGAGTTGCACCACCTAACTTTGACCGTAACTTTAACGATGAGCGTTGTTTTTTGTATGGACTCTGACAGATTTTTGACGTTTGTCAAAGTTAAAATAAGATGGTGCAACCCAGCCTAAGAAGTTCTGGGTTCGATTCGACACAAGACATTTCGTGTGGGTATTTGCACTCGGTGTGGTTAGGAATATGATTCCGTACGGGAGTCGTCAGTCCCTTGGGCTTGAGCCATGCTGGTCACCTACGGTGGCTCATTTATAGTTTTCAATTAATGATTCCACGATAGAAGGAGAGCAGCGGGGGGTGGATGACAGAGCATTCGTATTTTGGTGATGAAGCCGAATGTTGTGTAGGCACCAAACTGACTTTTTTGCCTAATGAGTAGGTATTATACAAAATTAAATACAATTTCAGAAAACTGCAGTGTTCTTACATCTTTGGTTTAAAATCTTATTTTACTCGTAAAGAATACCTACATATGTCGGCGGCCCGGCGGGCTCAGTGTGTATTCCGCTTAATACCACAGAATAATAGTCATGAACATTAGGGCCGTTTTCCACCGAAGCGGAGGCGATACGAGATGTGTGAAGTCGAGCAGCGGCATAGCGCGTAGGTTATTTCCACCAAAGTGGAGCGGAGACGTACGGAGATTTCTTATCTTTTTTTCAGTCTCCTTGTTCCCGCTCCGAAGTATTTTTTAAATTAAATCTACTTTTGTCTCCGACTCGGTGGAAAACGGGCCTTACTCGTAGTTTTGTTTGCAGAACTTTTATGTTATAGCGCCATCTATGCATTTAGCTGCTAACTTTATCGTATTCCGCTGTCTAAACGTATGCCTGGGCGGGCGGCGTAGCCAGCATCAACCGGTAGAGGGCCGGCGGTTGGGCGGGCGGGGCCGAGGGCTGCGCGCGCACGGTTACATAACGTCTTCGGAGGCTTCTCAAGCGCGCGCAGGGGCTCGCGCGGGGCGCGGGGCGATCGATGCGCGCCCGGGGGGAGTCAGTCGAGCGGCGAGCGAGCGACATGGCGGCGCGCCCACACCGCGCGGCGGCCCCGCGGCCCGGGCCGCGCGAGTAGGTCGCCATGCGCGATGCGGTATGAGGCAGCGCCGCGCCCGGCGGGCCGGCCCCCGCTAGCGGCGCCGCCCCCGCCATGCGAGCGCCGCCGCTGCTGCTGCTGCTGCTGATGGCGGCCGCGGGCCTGGCCGTGAGTCCGCTCGCGCGCCTCAACCCTTGGCTGAGCGCGTGCGACCTGGAGGAGGAGGGCGCAGGCGGGCGCGAGTGCGGGGGCGCGGCGTGCGGCGGCGGCGGCGGCGCGGCGGAGGCCCTGACGGGGCGCGACGTGCCGCACCTGTGCGCGCTCGGAGCGGGTGCCCGCGCGCGGCGCCTCGCCTCGCTGCGGCTGCGCGCGTGCTGCGAGCGCTCGCCCGCCTCCGCGCTGGACCAGAGCGCGCGCGACGACGTGCTCGCCGGCGGGGAGCGCTGCGAGCGCACGCTGCACGACCTGCTCGGCCTGGACGCCATGGTCGCGCGCGTGCACTGCGACTTCGTCGACATCCTCGCGCGCTACGACTGCAGCCAGCCTTACTCCGTACACACGTGTGACGAGTGCCAGGTGAGTGACAGCATGCCGGTGAACCGCTTAGCACGTGCACGTTTACTCCAAGTGGATGCTGTTATGTTTTTGGATTTCAAATCGCAGGTTTGTTACTATGATAACGCCAAAACGGTTGTGCGAGTCGCTGACATCTCGTTTAACGACCTCGATGTCAGTTGCCATTCAGAAATGGCAAACGATATACCGGGAAAGTTAAAAGAACGGTGAAGCTTTCTGACATTTTGACGCGATAAGTAATTTTGATGAGTTTACGGACACGCGGAATGGCCTGGCAATCAATCATGCTTGAAGGATGTGGAGAAAGAGGTGAGGTTGCGTAGGGTGGCAGGGTCGGCCATGAGTGCTCCGCGTGACCCGGTTCGCTGGTTAGGCGATTATATGCGTGTATTGATCCACTAGGCAAGTCACGTTTCTTAATCTAAAGTGATCAGGAATCGGGAAAAAAACTTAACGGAATGTTATTTGTGTGATGAAATAAGTGTAATTGATCAGTATGTCAAGTAACACTATTCTATGTTAGGAATTCTTCTTCGTTGGAATTCGTCGCTAACATCCATTTCACATTTTGGAAATACTGGATATCGTCATCGATATTGAAACAACCAATAAAATTAGCTATAGGTTTAATGAAGTGATTATGATAACTGAAATAATAACAATATTGTTTTCATATTCGTATCTAGTATTGTTGCATGTTGCTAACGAGATATAGGAACCTCTAAAATTCGTCTTTCATTTCAGCTTGAACCTGTTATGTCATAGTTGCTAGTTGCTAGGCGCTTTGTAGAGCACTTCCTCTAAAACGGGCTTCAGGAATAAACGGTTTAGTTTATGAAAAATATATCCTTCATTAATATTTATAGTTATTGTCATTGAATTTGGCTCTACATTCTTTCATAAATTAGTGAAATTTACAAGTACATGAGAAGTTCATTATAGTAAGTTATAAGTAAGTAAGTACTTAGCCTCATACCTTTCATAACCTCTTTCTTCTTATTACCCATCTTTATGTACTAATCTCAGTGATTAATGCGAGTATCACTACTTCTTTAAATTTTTACTGAATGTGATTTTTGGCCTTAATTGTTGATAATCATAATTTTACCTTTGATCATCATAATTAGGTTTAAATGCACTACGTTAAGGAGGTTAATTTATACAAGTGCAAATAAATTGATGGACTATAGAGATTGATTAATGTTTTTGTTTTGTTTTTTTAGAACAGAACCGAAACTTTTACAACAGAGTTCACCATAAAAGTCAATCAAATCACGGTGTTTCTGTTTCGCAAAACTGCAATGTACTCGTGTTCCATGCTCATGAAAAGAAAGGCGATTTTCCCGTGACGTCGATCCATCAATCAAGCCCTTCCGCTGGACACGGCACTAAACCTGTTTGACTGGTCAGACACGTGTTTATACCGTCAATATCAGTATTGGACACAGTTGATAGATCAGAGGATAATAATATTTATCTCAATATTATTATGAACGACCTTCTTTAATTCAGTTCTATGAATTAACCTAATTGGACGATAACAACGCAAGGAGAGTATTTATATGGAATTGCCTTGACGTAAATAAATTGTATTCTTATTCTTAGGTGCCTTCGCTGAATCGTGCCATAGTAATAATATGTTATTCAATATTTTTACATTAACGTTTGATTAAGCTCGTCAATGTAATGAGTTATAATATAAACATCAGATAAAGTAAGTATGCAACAACTTCATGTTTGCACACCTAAAAACAGCAGTTATTTGGCATGTAGCTTGCTTGATCGCCTATGAAACCCAACAGTAAAGGCTGAGTTAGTCCCAGGGGAGAGTTAAGCTGTCCCTTTGAATAAGTTAAATGAAACCTCAATCATGTTTATTTAAACAATGTTGTGTTACAACTTCCCACCAATTGTACTGCACCCTCTTAAAATTGTCACACTCCTTAAGAATTCGTTATAGAACACCACCAAATGATACCACATTTCATAAACAAATACATCCGTCCATAGTAAAGTGCCTCTACTTCCTCACGTTTTAGGGCTGATTTTTCAATCGTCAGATATCTTTTAACTGACGAATAGTCTTGTCATTTTGACATATTTCCCATACTAAAACTGTCAATGTGCCAAACTTATTCTTCAGTTAAAAGTTATCCGACGATTGAAAAATTAGCCCTTAGTTAAATACTCGTAAATGCACGTTTATTCAAATTTAGTTTTTAATAGTGTTGTTATTAATCATTAAATAATAAAATGTAGTAGGTAGTTCTGAATAAGTATTCAGTTAAAGTATTCATTTATTTTCGACTAGCACAGATAGTCATAAATTATAGCCTATATGTCATTCTGGGTTATAAAGAATAATACTGTAAAGTTTCATCTAAATCCGTTCAGTAGTTTTTGCGTGAAAGAGTAACAAACATGTTGACATCCAGACATCCAGACATCCATACAAACTTTCGCATTTATAATATTAGTAGGATAGTAGGTTATTAAATAATTTAGTAATGACAAAATAGCTGGGTGACAGCGCGCCAACTCGGCCTCAATGAAGTCATACTCTGTGTAATCTGTGGCACGCGAAAAAATCTGCCGACCGCACCGCGCGCCATTATTCCATAAATTAATTAGGTACTTTAAATTAAATGTAAAACATTTTTTCTTTGCGTGATCATAAATATTGTTTAATGCGTGTAACGTGTATGCGGATCCATGCAATCTTGTCTCTACTGTAATAATTTAGCCCACTTGTATCGCAATTATTAATCAGACAACAAATATTAATACCGGGAGCTATTCAAAACAAGCATAAATATTCATGAAAAACAAAACTAAAAGCGTGCAGATGAAAGTTAGTATAATCGAATAAGCTGACCAAATCCACCCACTTAACATGATTCGAATGGAGGAGGATGTTGGCAACTCTTTTCGTACGAGAAGTGATGCCCACGCATACCCTTCTGTAGTAGGTATAGCAGAATAAATCCATTTATAAAAATACTCTGCGTCTGTCTCGACGAGTGCTATCTTAGCGTGGGAGATATGCTGTGAACCACCTCCCGGCTAGCAACGATTTGTCACTATTTCTTCATACACTCCCAAATCACGCTCAAAGTAGTTTCACATGTAGTGTAAAGTTAGTTGACGATATTAATTAATTGTACCTTACCTATTCGAAAGCAAGGTTGTCAAAAGCTAGTCCAAAATGATATCTGTGTTGTCTTCAAATCGAATACTATATTTTTACCTAATTATTTACGTAATGATTAGATTTTTCATGTTTTATACATCAGTACTTTTTACAGGTAAAAGAAAATACAGATTTTTATACACAAAAGTAACATGATAATTATGTAATCCTAGCAAAAGTATCAAATTAAGAACCTCTAATAGTCAAATATGCATTTTAATACGATTATTGACTAAAAAGTTTGAACTAGCCTTCCTTTCTTATTTTGATATTCGAGATATAGAGCATACTAAAACTACAATTGCTCTCTTACAGAATACGGTATAAACTCGCGTCTTCCTCCGCTCCCGGCGGTTCTATAACCACAGCCCGTAAGACTAGGCAGTGGCGTGTCAGTAGCCATTTTCCGTCCTCCAAGACGTCACCTGCAGACCAACTGAAAGCTTTCAAACGTTTACCACTCCGCTGGCTTCATTTATTTTTATGTCTGTCAAAGTGCTTGCTACAATAACCATCTATTTATTGTTGTTTAACAACATTGTAAACCATTTTGTATTGCCCGGAATTGACGCGGTTTGTAAAATAAACTTCTTTTTAATTTACAAAAAGTAAAGGTACTTTTTTAGTACATTTTATGCACATTTTAAGTTCACGTGTGAGTTTAAAAATAAACAGCAAAGAGATTATATACATTTTTTTTTATTTGGGGTGATAAGTAATGTGTTGTTTAGAATATGTCAACATTCGCCGTTGGTTCATGCTGCAATCTCACCCCAACAAATTAAGCTTTTAAGGTAGGCCTACTTACTGATACACGCAGTTTAAAAAAAGTTAACAAATCTAGCGACACTAAAGTAACATATTGTCCTCCTTCGTCAGTAAACAATACCTTCTAAACAAATAAGTCGGTACTGGATGACCTGTATTCGAGAGCGGGTCATGGGAAAAGCGGTTTTCGCCAAGCAAGATCCGTTTTCCTTACCTTTGACCTCGGCTGTCTGAAACTGTCGCTGCATTGAGGGGACTTTGTGACACTTTTTTATGACACTATAATATAACGACAAAAGATGGAATTCAGACTGGGCGACATGAAATAGTTAATAAATGAGATTGGTTTAATATAATTACGTTGCAATTTTCATGTTTAACTTCTTCTACCTTTCACAAACTTTAATGCTGAAAAGGTATCCTTAAAATTCTTTGCTAGTTTTTTGTCGGTTTAATTTTGCTATATGGCCAAATAATAGTTGTAATACTACGAGTATAGTTTCTGCTACTTTTTATTCAGAGATTTTGACTCCATTTGACAAAATAATAACGATACCTACTAGGCAATTGTTAATAGCAAGTTGGTGTAAGTTATGTAGAGACAGATAGAGCACAATAATAAATTCTAAACTATGCAAAACTATTATTAACCTTTTATCTGTTGTACATTATTTCATGATCACGTTAATATGAAAGTAATGCTCTCTCAATAAATCGGTAATTGGACTGATTAGTATTTAGTGAACCCTCCAGCGTCGCGCGCCGCTGCAATATTTTTCAATCTAAAACACAGTCTCTACCAGAAATAATATGAGAACTCCTGAATTATTTTTCAACCTCATTTTATAAATAGAAAGTTCTATTGACCTGCAGGCGATCATTAAGTACTAGATACATAAAAGCGTTTTATAGTATAGAATTGATAACACATAATTATAGTTATTGATGTTGGTAACATGTTATTATTGTTATTTTATACATTTTTGTGTGAGTTGATTTTAACAATTTGAGTTGCTTTTATAGAACAGTTATTCAACTTTTG